AATAGCTCACATAATTTATATAACATTTAATTTAGAATGGATTTAAAGTTCCGTCTGTTTATACAGTATGAAACATTCTTTAGACTTTGATAACCAAGGTACAGTTGGAATCGGGGTAACTCATGGAGAATGAACTAGAGATAACAGCGTAAACATCTAATTATTAATACTCCCTAGGAATTATCTTTACCTGGCTGAAGGGTAGCGACCCTTTCGAACATTAATTTTAATCAAGCGGTCTTAATGTCCAGAACCTATAGCATTCCCGCATGCAGTTCGACTGATTAACTGATGTAAACATCAGGAATACATTGTTATGTTCCTAACGGAGGTCATTTGTAGCACTTTAACCCAACAAGTATACAAACATCTGTTTAAAAAAGCTCACACTCTCACTCATCGAGTGTAACACATCAAATTTGTTATTACTTGTCAAAGAGAGTGTTCTTTCTTGAAAATGCAAAGATTAACTGGCAAAGCACTGAAAATCAAACTCTTCATCGACTGAAAATACCGCCATGGAACGTTTTGAGAAGATTAAGATCTTCCACTCATCAAGTTTGGGCTTTTAGAATACAGGCGTAATTGTATTCCACATGCATAAAAAAAGAAAACCAACACAACAATACAATTATTTTTAGGGGACGTATTTTTAGGTTATATTTTTGCAACAAAAATACGTGTTGATAACGCATATCGAGAGGACTAAAAGGGCCACTTGAGTTCGAACTTTCCTTTTCCATCTTTTTCGTGTAAACAGACTGGGGTAAGTTATACGAAAATCCCATTTGGACGAGGAATTCGTGCTAAATTTGAACGTAGATGGCTAAATCAGAATTTCTCAAATATTAACGCAGTGAAAGATGAAATTAGGAACGGGAGCAAACAAAATGAGTATCGTGACAATTACAACATCCTTTTAGCAATACTCGACCAGCGTCTAAGTGTATCCATCATTATTCATATTCGAAGGGTTTTCACAATCAACTTTCCGCTCTAAGATGAGTTTCCCCTGTAAAAAGAAAACCCAATAACACTTGACGATACTTGCATCAACAAAAAACTACCGCAAAAATTTCATTTTTTATTATCTTTGCCAGACACAAATAATTTGAGATATGGGCCAAAAACTAGCTGAAAAACAACATATAATTCCACACATTCGTATGCAAACACGTATACACCCATATTTATGTATTAGCTACTTGTGATTAATGACGATCTCTTCACTTGATCTATCAAATCACAGTTAGTGGACTAACTGTGATCAAATAAAGTTAATGCATAGATGGTGTAATGTTATGAATTTGTAATAAACTTCACAAGCACGTTAAAATACTCGAGGCAGATCTGTATAGGATTTATTTGGGATCTGTATGTAAAGACCCACACATGCAGATGTGTTGCAACTATTTTAACTAGTACTTAATTGTGATGCATTAATGTCATTTTTCATATTAATCAAAGGACTAGCACTATAAAATAATGACTGTTTATGAGTGCATTGATATTAGGATATTTTTTTATAACATGAAAGATGAAATGCACCATTGCACGGTCAGCAAAAGAGAATTTTTTGTTTAATGTAATGTGATCAAAAGCATTAACGAATTAAAAAATAATAAATTTTTATGGTGCTATATGCCATTGTATAACAGCGGATGTACAGCGATATTGTACCATTCGTCAAAATATGTGTAGCCAGATTTATGTGACCGATTTGAATACAAAGATAAAGGAAACTTTACATATTGAATATTTCCTATCGCTGAAAATGACGTGTTCACGACGATTATGACTGAATGGAAACCAGGCTTTAGTCTAAAGTGGGAATGGTCCATTCCTAGAAAGCACAGCAGCATTATAACTTTCACTATCCTAGTTAAGAAAGGCCACTCTAAGAAATTTCTTAAGAGCTCGAGACTTTGGTAGCCTAATGTTAAGTTTTTGTTATAGGGAAACGCAGCACGTTAAAAGTCTTTAAATCACTTTGGAAGCTCAGACGAAGGTGCTCAGGAAGTTGAGAGTGCAACTTCATGGAAGTTTCCGGAGTATTGTTTAAGAATATTGACTATTTGTAGATCCCTTATTTCCCCTTAGTTCAGTAAGGTAATAATAATAATAAATAAATAAAATAATAATAAATTTACATTTATAGTGCGCGTATTCCATTTGGTATATGTTCACATGGGCATAACAGTCAATACAAATTATAAATAAATATTAAATTAGTTAAAAATGATTTAAAACTATGTTATCTTAAATTGCAAACATATTTACAAATTATAAGCTTTCTTAAATAGATGTGTCTTTAAAAATTTTTTAAAACTGTCCACTGAATTAGCCTCTCGAATGCATGAAGGTAAGGAACTCCAAAGTACGGGTGCAGCAGAGGCAAATGATCGATCACCTAACGTGACCAAAGTCTTCACAGAAGGTGGCTCTAAAAGAAGCTCGCTATTTAATCTAATATTATACTTCGATGGCGACTTAACAGTTATAAGTTCGGTTAAATAATCTGGAGTCAGCCCATGCAATGCCTTGAAAACTATTACTAAAAGCTTAAAGTCTATTCTAGACTTTACCGGCAGCAAGTGTAAATCAAACAATGTTGGTTTAAACACTGAAAATAAACTTGACGGATGTTGGATCTACAACACACTACTGCAATTCATTTGTTTATATTAACTTTGCCAGGCAGAAACAATTTGAAACATAAACGAAAAACTAGCGAGGAAAATCTAGCCCAATGTAATCAAATAAAATCTAACACCCATATATTTCAGAGCCATGTGATTCATAAGTATTAGTTGAAATGCGCGTGGCCGATCTGTATGGGTGTTGAAATCCAATACAGATCGACTGCGAGTATATTAACGTCCTTGTAAAATGAATAAATTAAGTTTAATGGATATTAGGGCATGTGTGTTACAAAGTTATGAATACTAATTAAGATTAGTTATATCAAAGTTAATAATATTAGTTACTAATTCATTAGACATTTATGGAGAATTACAGATGTATACATGTGACCGAAATACTGCTCGGTGATTGGAAGTTAGCTATAACTATCTGTAATAAATCTGTCACATCATTTAAGTAAATGAATACTCGTTTAAGGTCTTATTTCTCTCCTGTGGCAAATCTATGAAGCCCGGTGAACATGTAAAGGTGGTTGATGTGATACAATATTTCTTTGCGTGTTTGCAATCAATCATGACCGATTTGAATACAGAGATAGAGACAAGTTTACATGCTTAATATCACCTATCGATGAAAATGATTTGCTCACGACAATTACAACTCACTGAATGGAAACCAGACTTCAGTTTAAAGTGAAAATGGTCCATTCCTAGAAAGCGCAACTATTCAGTGGAAATCAGTAATGATTTTTACGTCCTGAGTAAGAAAGTCTAAGAGCTCGAGTCTTCGGTAGCCTAATGTTAAGTTTTTATGATAGGGAACCCACAGCGCATCAAAAGTCTTTCAATTACTTTGGAAGCTCAGAAGAAGGTGCTCAGGAAGTTAATAGTGCAACTTAAATAGTCTCCGGAGTATATTGATTATTTTTAGGTTCCTTATTTCCCCTCCATTCAGTAACGTAAATCACTGAAAATAAACTAATCTTCTTTCATATATTTTACAGTAGTTGGATCTACAACAAACTACTGTAATTCAATTGTTTATATTAATTTTGCCATGGCACAAACAATTTGACACATGCATGGAGGAAAAACTAGCAGGGAAAATCCAACCTAATATAACCTAATAAAATCGATCATCAATATTTCAAAACACAAATGACCATCTCTATCAAAGTTAACGTGTCATGTGATTCATAAGTATTAGTTAAAATATACGAGTGGCCGATCTGTATAGGTGTTTAAATCCGATACAGATCGGCCGCGAGTATTTTAACGTGCTTGTAAAATGAGTAAATTAAAGGGATATATGGCAATAAAAAATATTTCTCTTTTGTTAAAAAGAAAAGTTATGAATACTAATTGAGATTAGTTGTATCAAAGTTCGTATATGAATTGTTAACTCCTAGAAAGAACAACAGCATTATGTGCAGTTGAAATCAATACTAACTTTTACTACCTGAGTTAAGAAAAGCCGCTGTAAGAAATACACTGGCAGTCAAAAAGAACTGCTCAAAACAAGTTAAAATGCTCTCAAATGAACGTAACTGTCCCTCTAACAATATATACGAGTAAATATAGATTAGATTACATGCTAATAAGTTATATGAAATATTGATATTTTGTTGACCCTCCTTTGGCCTTATAATTGATGACGGCCTTACACCGGCGTGCCATACTTTCTGTTAAGGTGGCCATGGTAATCTTAATGGTCAAAAGAAATTCATCCAATGGACAGTCTTTACAGCAACCCATAAATCATGGGCGCTTTATGAATTAATTCCTTTCTTGCACTATCCCTTTCACATTGTCCCAGAGATGTTCAATAGGGTTAAGGCCTTTCGACTGTGCAGTCTAATCCATTTCTGTCACTCCCTCTTCCTGAAACCATTGTCTCACTATATCTTGGAAGTGTGGCAGGTTGCATTACATTATTGAAGTATTGCTTGGAATAAGAGAATTGTTCAAAATGCCTATGAAGCTCTCCCCTATATTTGCTTCTTTTTTATGAATTTGTATCTGAACAGTTCTTTTTGACCGCTAGTGTACAATAAAAGATTGATTGTTACGATTCCTGTCACATACGATAATAGCAACATTTGGGCAGTTCTTTTTGACCGCCAGTGTATCTTATAATAAGAGTTCGACATTTCGGTAGCCTCAGTAATGTTATGTTTTTTTGACTATAAGGAAACCACAGTGTGTGAAAAGTCTTTCAACTATTTTGAAAGCTCAGAAGAACGTGCTCAGGAAGTTAAGAGTGCCACTTAATAAAAGTTTACTTCCGTAGTATGTAGTCTAAGAATATTGATTATTGTAGGTTCTTTATTTCCCCTGCAGTTCACTTATATAATCGACGTGGCTAATGATGTTTAGTTAGATCGACAAAGCACTCACCGTGGTAAAAACTCTGGTTAATCAATAAATCTATTGTGCTGAAAGGTAAAGCAGTAAGCATTAATTCTTTACGTGTAAGTTTACATGTATGTTATGTCAGTTGGAGTCACATTTTGGAATAGTAGTTAAACTTATATAGACCAAATGCAATGTTTCATCACCATCCGCGAGCAATGTTTGCCCGCATTATACATCCTCCCAGGAAACTGAGAATATGTATCTTTTTTATTTAAGAGATAATCATACCAAACTTTGAAGATGAAGTTTCTTCTTTCATTTGTTATTTTTTACACTCTTGCAGTCTCAGGTAAGAACTACATTTAATAGAAAATATAGAAAATAAATATAGAAAATAGCATATGAATTATATCTCCCAGTTAGACAATAGAATTTTAGAAACATGCAAGCATCGCCAGTGCTTCAAAACTTATTGTATATTACAATAAAGACAAACTTTTGTCGTTTTTATCATTTTTAGCTTCACAATCATGAAGCTCTGATGATACATGCAGTATCAACACTAAACCCCCGACATCTGTGATTTTTGTTTTCGGGAAAATTCTTATTTTATGCCTCATTTTTTAGCTCATGCCGCTGTTTATTGGACTGGCTGGCTTGACCGAGACAACCCATCTGGAACTGGCGACTGGGAAACGTATAACAGTTTTAAACCCGTAATGACAGATTTAGCGATAACTTTTTATCGATAGTATTACTCATTTCATTTTTATGAAAAAACGCGTCATTCTGTGCCAGTCGGTTACTGCAATTGTGCAGCGTTTGACAAAATGTGTGGATGCTGAGCTGGGGCCGGTTGTTGGAAAGCCGTTTAGCCTAAACGGTGGATTAGCGAAAGTTTAGAAATACTCTCATGCGTCTTTTGAATAACTGAAGTAACATCGTATGCATTAAATATGCATTTCTGTTGAAAATTAAACTTTTTACGTCGAAATATTTCATCTCAGTAACTCTTGTTCAATAAAAAAGCTCAATCATTTTGCTTTCCATTCTCAAGTTATCTACAGTTTATATGTATTGAATGAAATATATATATTGAATAGTTTTTTAATACTTTAACATTCAATAGCGTCCCTGCAGAGCTGGTTATAGACCACTTGGTGCAAACTGCAGAGTGAAGCACACTTATCAACCCTGGTATGCAGCAAATCAAAACATAGCTTTGCAGTGCACATCGGGTGGATTCGTGTGTAAAAACAGCGACAACACTCAATATTGTAAAGACTACGAAATCCAGTTTCGCTGCTACAGACGTAAGTACAAACTAGCAACTGGAAGAAATGATGAAATATTTTTAAACAATGACAGTACTCGGTTAGGATTTACTGAGGCGCCAGTTACAAGATACCGGAGTAGAAGCGTACCGGATTACTTTCCATATGAGATAAGGGCTGCAGTTGCACCCTCCACGCAGTAAAAATTTAATGTACTCGGCTCTGGAGGTGCACGTGAGATGAAAAATGAACCGGTACATTTCTGTTTTCGTGTGATCGCTCCAATCTGGTGTAGAATATTTTTAGATACCGATTCCAAAAGAAGTTCTCTTTCACAGTCTGTCCACCAACGTTGCCGGGCAGGCTCTTTTACCTACGCTCCATGACCCACGCTGCGGCCAAGTCCCTTGTTAAGACTGGTCACGTGATTCTTTTGTTACGTTCTCTCGTGTGGAAATGGGTAGGACACAAGTAGCGGATAAATCACATCAGTTAAAACAGCGTGTTTTTTAGCACTGAATATCGAGCGCTGTTGTACTGCAAAGTGAAATAACCGGTGTCGTTATTGTTATTTGCCTTTAAATTCGCTCATCAACGCCCAAATTTAGAAGATAGGACAGGCTTTCGAGTACCTATTGAATGTCAATTACACTTTGAATCTCATTTCGGTCTATTATTGTTCTTTGAATTTTTGCCGCGCCACACTAGCTGTATTTATTTAGTTTATTATGTGAACTGCTATCTTAAGTCGCCGCAGTACAAAGCCACCTGGCTGTCACAAGTGCTAAAAATAGCAGAAGTGGTATATCGACTTTGCCACCCTTCCCTGAGATATGAACTAAGCGCTAATTAAAAGCCTCCCATATTTTGGGAGATTTTGCGCTGTCACATGACCAGCCTGCGAGGTTGTCTGTGCACGAGAGTATTTTTTGTAACTTTTGCTCCCCCTTTGTTGTCCGACATTTTGTTTGTATTTTGAAACAAATCGATATCGTGTAATCAAGATAAATCCGTTAGCATATGTACATGGAATCAATGAAGATAATCCGATGCGAAAACTAATCCGGTATCGTGTTACTGGGGCCTGATTTTTTCCGAACTTGTTGTACATGCTACTGTTGTAAAGTAAATCAAACCTATTTTTTTTCAACGTGTTCTGTTCGAAATTCTAAATGTGTCTCATAATAAGTTGTCGTCACTCGTCATACTATATCTTATCTCTGTTTTATTGACTGGTAAACCAAATAGACATTTCAAGCTAGAAATGAGAATATTGATGCATTTTTTCCTTTTTTCTCATATAGGATGAGACAATGCTCAAGATGGTGAAAATGTTCTAAATCCATGTTTTAATGTCTTAACGAATAAATCTTTTTTCACTAAAAAAACTATTTTTGTTGTTCTTCTAATTTGCGCGGCGACATCGTTTGAACCAAGGATAAAGGTTAAATAGAAACCCAGTGTTTTAGAATATTATTTAACATCATTATTTATAATATACCATTTATACTACGCGCGTGCAAATTGATATAGAAACGTGTTTCTATAACTGTAAGAAACACAGGAATTTTCCCGCCGAACTTGACAAGCGAAGTAACATAATGAGGATTTGTAATTGAATCGAATCATAATATTTCTACAAAATCTTTTTATTTAGTTACATTATAAAAGAAATAGAAAACATTTTTTCCTGTGTTTTTTTACGGTAATAGAAACACGCGTGGAGGTCAGCTGGAAAAACGAGCCCATAGTAGGGCGAGTTTTCCCACGTTATCTCGAGAAAAATGTTTGGAAAATGTTTTCTATATTTTAAATAATATGCTGTGTTTTTTTAGCGAATCGCCATTTCTAAAAAGCGTGATAATAACACATGTTGATTATCGTGCATGTTTGATCCACCAACCAGGAATCGGGGTATACGCATGCGCGCTCCGGGGGGGAAAGAGTTTTTATTTGTAGTATGCGTGGCTTGCCACTATGTAGTTGAGATGGGCCTTTGGTTGTGTGTATGTTACTGGGTTTGTCCGTCCCCGGCCATTGTCGGACGTAGGAAAAAATTAATGACTAACATACTCGCTCACGCCTTTGTAACAACTTTTGGAAACTTTCGTGAGTTGCTTATTGTCAATTCAAGATTAGATTTCATTTTCGTTCGAAGGTTCTTAAGCTAAGGTAAGATATATTTTGCGATGTTTGTTTATTTTAATTTTGTTTATTTCAATCGCAAACGTATTTACTATAATCGAGCGAATAGATCCTTCTACGAGGCCCGTCGCCTGCCCGCACTGAATTTTGTCATGCACCCTAGTCAGTCAAGTCAATAGAAAAGGTAAAAAGAACAGTGAATAATTGTACTTGTAGTATGTTCAAATGATATACTGTCAATTGTGTCATGATGTGTACGTGCGACTGTATAAGACTGTCTAATGACATGGAGTAAAAGCCAGTAAATTACATAGTATATTCGGCGTGTACAGTAAATGCTAATTTTTTATCAGGGTAATGACAAAAATTTGATATGAGTTCTGGTAATCAGTGTGTAGCATGTGCATGTGGTGAAACACTTCCTGTCATTGTATGGAATTGTTTACAAAGAAATTAAATCAGTTAATATTTGAAATTAGAAACAGTTTGTATGGTATTTTCTGCCAAGGTTTGATTAAAAGTCATTTTTTGTTAACTGACGTCCTCGAGTTTATGAATATAATTTTATTGGTTACAATGATCTCAGATCAGTGATTGGTTTCAAACTTAAGGCATTCAGATGACAGATTCAAAGGCTACCCAGATGTACGCCATGCGAACCTATTTTTGGGTAAGGATGTTGTGTTAATACATGGTGGCAGCTACGGGATTAAACCCATGGCAACCTCGAACGGTGGCCCATTAAGCTTGAATACAGCACAAACTGCGAATGCAATTAATATGTTGCCCGGAATAAAGCCGCCTGGAAATCTAGATACTCGAAGTACGAATATTGTGGAGAATTGGAAGACATACAAGCTAGCATGGAAACATACAAGCAAGCATGGAAAAATTATGCTATTATTACAAACTTAAATACCCAACCGGAGTTATAAAAAGCTTAAGTGGCTTTGTTCCTACATTGCGTGGGGCCGACTCATTCTAAACGTATGCATCAATCACCTCACTGGTCTTGCCACATTTTTTTCCTAAAATGTTCTTTGTCCTCGCGTATCATTCTGACGTGAACAATAATCCATCGATACAAAAACGAACCTTAGGTTCGATGAGCTCTTTTAGATACAAAAATTTCGTTTTTTTTGGAACATCACATTCTGCCGTAAAATTAATTATCTCAAAATTCGAAGATAATCTGTATGTTGTCCATTGAATTTAGTTATAACAAGCTTGGGCAGCTTTGTTGACGTTGATTTCTCTGCTCCTCTATCATTGCTGTGACTTGATTTTGGCTTTAAACTCTCTGCCAGCTTTCCGTACGCGTAGTTTCATTTTTCTTTAAATTTCTCCTGTTCGTATTTCAGTTCCAACACGGTATGTTAAAGGATATGCACTGAAACAAACATGCAAACGGCAGCGCATGTGGAACAATGCAGAAGTGCCAACAGTTGGAACAACACGGGCGATTGTTCGAAACCCACAAAATAACAAGAAACACTCAGTTGTTGTGGTCCGTGAGAGCTTAGTACCTATCATTAGGGTCCGGGCACAGCACCGATGAACATTATCAAAGTACACAACGAGTGCTTTGTACTACGCCTCCTGAGCCTGAAGGGGTACTAACATTTTCGGCAAACGTCAACTCCATGTCTGCCACTGAGCAGGTTATCTCGAAATACTCCCCCCCCCTAGCTGGACCGTGTAGCAATTGCTGAAAATTTGGTGACATCCAGGACTGCATTGAGCCCTCCCATTAATATCGCGTCAAGAGAGACGGAATCAGATGGTTATCCTTGACGAGGTACTATGTGAGCTTTCTAAAGCAAAAGTTTTTCCACTGTTGACCTTCGTTCCGGATACTGGCACTACCCACTCGACACAGAATCCAGCATGCTGATTACCTTCTCTACTCCACATGCATGGTCGCTATCGATGCCTCCGGCTTCCCTTCGGCCTTTGCGACACTTTCAGGATCTTTTATCAGCAGGTGAAAGCAGGTGAATCTTGCTTTAGAGGGCCTCGATGATACGCTCAACATTGTGGAAGATATTTTAATCTATGGTATCGGTGTAAGAAAGAAGGAAGCAGAAAAGGCGATAACGTGGAACTGATCAACCCTTGGCGCCGGCATAAGGAACGTGAAGTCGCACTAAATCCTGACAAACTGAAACTTCGAATGGAAGAGGTAGCGTTTGTGGGACATATCCTGACTAGACAATTGCAAGGTATCAAAATTGGCCCTGAAAAAGTAAAAACAATTACAGAAGTAGAGCCACCAACATACATGGAGGAACTTCAAAGATTGAACGAAATTGTGAATTACCTCGCAAAACTTCTCCCACAGTTTGCGACGATAATGGAGCCTGTTTGCAAACTAACAAGGAAAGACGTCCCGAAGAGTGGTCTGATCAACAGCAACAAGCATTCAACACCGTTAAGAAGCTGGCAACAGAATCCCCATTACTTTGCTATTATGTTCCTGATCAAGAGTTCCAAGACCAGTGCGATGCAAGCCAACGAGGTTTGAGAGCTGCCCTCATACAAGAAAGCAATAGTCGTTGCCAGGTAGCAGTAGTCGCTCCCTCTCTGAAACGGAACAACGATATGCACAGATAGAGAAAGAGCTCCTTGCCGTCGTCTTTTCTCTAGAAAAGTTTCATTACCGCACCTCCGGCCGACCTGTCTAAGATCTTAGCGATCATAAGCCATGATACTTAAGAAACTGCTGGGCGCCATTCCTCGACGGCCAGAAGGCTACGACATCGAACTTGTACATCGACCTGGCCCGACAACGCAAATCGCGAAGTTTCTATCACGATCATACCTCCCAGTTTCCGCAGATCCAAGTACAGTCGAATTCGAGAACATCAACGTGACACAGTTTCGTTCGATTTCAGATGAACGACAGACATTAAAGTTGATTAAGGTTGCTATGCAAGCAGAGAAGGCTTTACAACTGTAATGAAAGCAGCTATTCTTCGAGGTTGGCACGACAACAAGCAGAGTCTAGCCCCAGACGTCTGTTCATTCTTCAGCATGCCAGACGAACTCTCAATACAGGACGAATTGATATTCAGGGGTGAGCGAGTCATCGTGCTTCGCAACAACATAAAAAGCAAATTATTTTCGTCACATATTGGGATTGAGGCATGCCTACGAAGAGCCAGGGAATGCCTTTTCTGGCTGGGCATGCCCGCAGAAATACGACACCTTGAGGGGCGATGGGAAACATGTGCTACATTCGGTACCAGCCATCGAAAAGACACAATCCTTCCCCACGAACTGCCCTCCAGGCCATGGCAATAGATCGCTGTAGATCTCTTTGAATGCGAAAAGAAAGAATAGTTAATTAAGGTCGACTAGACTTTCAAAACATCAAAACGTCTCCTCTTAAAAGCAACCCTAAAAGGATCCGATTTCCAAATCACCCTGCTGAAATGCACCCCATCCCAGAGCATGGACCTTAGCCCAGAATAGAATAGACGGAATAGAATACCCTTAAGAAAGTCAAGCGTCAGTACCCACAGGCCTAGCAACTGTTCCTGCACCGCAAACGACGCCAGGCAACAGGCCGCAACGACAAAAAAAACACCCAGTTACCTGGAGGAGATCAGGGGCAGCTAGGTTGTATCAAGCCCGTTTAGCTTGAACGGTGGATAAGTTAAAATTAGATAACACTCTTGCATTTCTCTTGAATGAGTGAACTTGAAGATTATGCACTGAATATGTAGTTGTAAACAGTGGCTTTGTATTAAGATCAAAAACATTTTGTTCGCTTGTTGACTAAAAGGGCGGTCTTGCTTTCTTTTTTGAACTTATCCACCATTTAAGCAAAACGGGATTTATATAGCCGGCACCAGTGGCGTATTGACGATTTTTGCCCGCCATGTAAATTTCGAGTTATTATAATTATTCATGCCTTTAGTAATTTATTGTTTCACATAGTCAATGAACACAAAAATATTAACATATAGCGGGGCGAAATCGTCAGGCTGGCCACGCTACAGAGGAGTATGTTTGCAGATAAACACCTACAAGAAACCATCCCTTAACTAAATACATAGTTCAGACTGATTGCAATAAAGAAAATCGTTTATGTTGTGTTCATGCAGAACTCTAGCAGCGATGCTATTTATGATTTAAAAGTCATATAAGCTGTGTGAGGGGAAGTTGTTACAATTGCATCTGTATTCACTCTGTATTATACCTCTATATAATTGCCTATGACGAATTAGGATGTGATGCGATGCGATGCGATGCGAAGTGATGAGATGCGATAGTTCTATTTGTGCACAGTCAACAGCAGCCGATTTTAATAAAGAGACTATCAGGACAATTTCTCATCACCGACAATGACTTTTTCACGACAATCGCGACTAAATGGAAACCAGGTTATAAAATACATTCATAGAAGGCATAACACCATTGGGAATCAGACACCGCCGTAAACAAAGATCGCTCAGTTGGTGAGTGTCTTGAGAGCCTTCGGAAGCCTAATGTTAGGCTAAACATTAAGCCTTAATATTAAGTTAAGATATAATTAGTATCCTTTTATCATTTGACCATCAAGAATCATAGCCCTGCATGATCATGCGGTATAAACTTAAAACTCCCTAGCGTCTGTGGCTTTATCTCTGGAATGTTCTTATGTTATAGATTTTTAGCCCATGCCTGACTTTATTCGATCGGGTGCCTTGAACGAGACAAGTCATCTGGAACAGGAAGCGATATTGCCGTTTAACAGCATGGCGATTTTAGGTAGACATTTAGAGATTAATTTTTGTGACATAATTAATTTTGCAGTTGAATGTAATGAAATTATGAAGAGTAGAAATGCAATGTTTATGAACACTTTTGTATGAAACAATGAATCAACGAGAGGCCGACATTTCACCTATTTTTTAGCCAATGCCTGACTTTATTCGACGACTGCCGAGACAACTCATCTGCAACTGGGAGCGATATTGCAGCATTCGTGAAAATAAATAAAACGGCTCACACCCATATGTTATTTATTATCACACCTTTTAAAATTCATTTAAAGTTCCATTGGCGTGTTTGAGTTCTGAAACATTCATTGATAAATCAATAACCAATTAAGGTAGGTAGTTATTAGTCTTAAATAGTTAAGGCTTGAAGTGAAGAAACTCATGCATAAAGATCGAAGAAAAATGGCGTCAACATGAACTTACTGTTCTAAAAGAAAACATTATTTTGTTGACAAACATTTAATTATGCAAGTCTACTAAAATGTTGAAATTTATGCAGGCTTCTCAACCTAAAGTAATAAATTTCCCCTCTATACTTGCTTATGACAGATTAGGATATTACTCATGATTATGAATCATCAAAAGCTCAATACAAAATCAAATGATGCCGAATATGAAATGATTTAAACAATGTTAATGAGTTAAAAAAACATTTGTCTACAGGTGTAAGACGGGTGTTGTTTTTGTTGTCACCAACACTAATGCTTAATTGGTTTCCATTCAGTCGTAAGCGTCGTGAACATGTCAGGATTGCTGATGTGATGTAATGTGATGTCACAACTCATCTAGAACTGGAAGCGACATTGCCGTTCAGCAGCATGCCCATGTAAGGTAGACATTTGGAGATTATTTTTTGTGATCTAATTTGCTGTTGAATGTAAGAACTCATGCAGAGTAGAAATGCATGGAAACAAATTTTTGTTTATGAAAACTTTTTACTAAACGATGAGCCATTGAGAGGCCTACATTTTACCCATTTTTTAGTCTATGCCTGCATGACTTTATTCGACTGACTGCCTTGGCCGAGACAACTCATCTGCATCTGGAAGCGATATTCTATATTCTCATCACCGACAATGACTTTTTCACGACAATCGCGACTAAATGGAAACCAGGTTATAAAATACATTCATAGAAGGCATAACACCATTGGGAATCAGACACCGCCGTAAACGAAGATCGCTGAGTTAATAAATATCTTGACAGCCTTCGGAAGCCTAATCTTAAGCTAAACATTAAGCCTTGATATTAATTTAAGATATAATTATTATCCTTTTATCATTTGACCATCAAGAATCATAGCCCTGATCATGCGGTATAAACTTAAAACTCCCTAGCGTCTGTGGCTGGAATGTTCTTATTTTATACATTTCTAGCCCATGCCTGACTTGATTCGATTGAGTGCCTTGACCGAGACAAATCATCTGGAACAGGAAGCGATATTGCCGCTCAGCAGCATGGCGATGTTAGGTAGACATTTAAAGATTAATTTTTGTGACATAATTAATTTTGCAGTTGAATGTAATGAAATTATGAGGAGTAGAAACTAGAAATGCAATGTTTATGAACACTTTTGCATCAATGATGAATCAATGAGAGGTCGATGTTTTACCCATTTTTTACCCAACGCCTGACTTTATTCGACCGACTGCCTTGGCCGAGACAAGTAATCTGCAACTGGGAGCGATATTGCAGCATTCATGGTAAGAAATGAAACGGCTCACATCCATATGCTATTTATTATTACAATTTTAAAATTAATTTAAAGTTACATTGGCGGCGTATTTGGGTTCCGAAACATTCTTTGGAAATCAATACGTTAGTTAGTTATAAGTCTGAAATAGTTAAGGCTGGAAGTGAAGAAACCATGCATAAAGATCGAAGAAAAATGGCGTCAACATGAACGTACTGTTCCAAAAGAAAACATTTGTTAACAAACATTTAGTCATACAAGTCTACTAAAATGTTGGAATTTATGCAAGCTTTTCAATTTAAAGTAATAAATTTCCCCTCTATACTTGCTTATGACGGATTAGGATATTAGTTGTGAGTTGTCTGCTTATGATTATGAATCATCAAAAGCTCATGCAATAATACAGAAGAGTATAGACATAAATAAGTAGTGGCGTAGCCAGCCTGACAATTTTTCCCCCTATGCTAATATTTTGATGTTCATTGACTGTGAAAACAATAAATTTCTAAAGACATGAATAATTATAATAACTAGAAATTTACATAGCGGGACAAAATCGTCAGGCTGGCTACGTCACTGTAAATAAACATATGAAGAGTGTGTCTAGAATAGTCATAGAATATTCATGCCGTTGATGAGGCTATAGTGCATTTTGTGACAATAATACAACATAAAGGTTAAACATCAAGGATATTTTCAGTGGCGTAACTAGAACGATAATTGGGGGGGTGAATATTCATATATCCAGTTTTGCCCTACGGATTTCTTTTGTAATTGCAATAGCTTACAATGGAAATCCGTCGGGCAGAACTGAATATATGAATATTCACCCCCCCCCCAATTATCGTTCTGGTTACGCCCCTGGATATTTTATATAAGTATAATAGATTTTATTATAATATCATTTAATATAATACAGTCCAAGGGGTCAGGAAATTAGAGAGTGTACATGTAGCGTAAAAGCTCATAGTGGTAGCTTAATATAAGTTTCCGGAGTATAGTCTAAGACTATTGGTTACTTGTAGGTCACTTTTTTCCCCAGCAGTTCGGTAATATAATCGACGTGGTTCATGATAAGTTGTGTTAGATCGACAACGCACCCACCGTGGTAAGAAGAGCACTGGTTAATCAATAAACCCATTGCGCTGAAAGGTACGACAGTCATCAATCTCTACGTGCAATTTTACATGTATGCATGTTTAGATCACAAGCCATAATAAATCCATCATCGAGTCGAATATCTATTGAAAGTGAAACGTTCAAACGTTCAGTTATATTTTAGAATAGATGACACTGAATTCTACAAATAATCCATTCTTTTTTCTGAACCATCATTTAAATAATGTCTACCTAATCCAAAAAGAAACTGAGACGTACCATGCATTTATTTTCTTAATTTAAGAGACTGTTGTAGCAAAACTTTGAAGATGAAGTTTCTTGCTTCATTTGTAATTCTGTACACTTTTGCAATCTCAGGTGAGAACAACAGTTAATTTGTGTTAAATATAATCGTATAGCATATAGCGTGTCAATTATCTCCCCCCACATAGGCAATAAAATGAGGGCTAGACGAACATTTCCAGTGTTTCAAACATCATTTTATGGTACACTAAATATATATAATTTTCCCCCTTCCAGTCATAAACGTTCAAGAATGATCGGTGGGGTTTTTCTGGATATTCTTATTTATGTCTTTTTTAGCCCATGCCATTGAATATTGGACTGGCTGGCTTGACCGAGACACCCAAACTGGAACTGGTGACTATGAAGCGTATTCAAGTTTTGCCAACACAGATGGGAAGGTAAATACAGGACCTATATTTAGCGATGATAATTTTTCCATAGTAATATTCAGTGGCGTAGCTAGCATCAATAATTGGGGGGGGGGCATATTCATACATTATCGTGCTTGCTACGCAAAGACACAGTAATTAATTTTCTGCCAGAGGCGTAGCTGGTTGCAAGAGCAAGTACTTTAATTGTGCAGAGTTTGGCAGTGACTAAAGTAACAAAATTTGGCAGTGAATAAAGTTTCAGTACTATACTGCGGTTAAAATAAAGTTGAAAAAATCAATACAATAAAATAATTACATTTAAATAACAACGAACCATGTTTACGTACACATTATTCCAAAGAGACAATGTCCATTAAACAAAAATGTTTTAGTTAAGGTGTCATATCCATAGGAAATAAGGCTTAGTTGCGCCTGTTTATAAAATCTTTTTTACAAAACTATAGAAATATAAGATTCAAGAATTCGTGTTTCTAAAAACAGAATACATATCGACATAGAGTCCGACATTTCTTTTGCATATGATAGCGACTTTTCTAGCATATGGTAGTGTTAAATAGTATAAGCTCACACACAAGTTATTTTATTCTATTTTAATGTCAAATTCCAGTTCCTAAAAGCGCAAGCTTTTTTACAAAACAATAGAAAACATAACACAACGTTCGGGGCGTCCGTGTTCAATCTTAAGGGGCAATTCTGCCCCATGCTTCTGAGCGCCCCGTAACATCTCCCTCCTTCTGAGTTAAACATAAACGTTTTTCATCATACTTATATTAGTTTTCAGTCACGTAGTCTTCAAGATATGCCGGCTACGTGTTTGTCTATTTGATGTTCTCACTGTGCTCCTGGGAGTGGTGTGCTCTACAGGTGGCTGAGGAATTGGTTCTTCAGATTCAGGCTCCTGCTGCTGGCCTGGTGTATTCTGCTCTTGCACTGGCAACTCTCCGTCTACATCTGCTTCTGAATCGCCTAGCTCTGCAGTTTTCCGGATATGCCTGCGATTTCTTCTATAGTTTCCTCCATCATCAGTTGCCACAATATACGACCTTGGACTAACAATCGCTTTCACCGTCCCTTTCCTCCACCTATCCTTTCCTTTCTCGGGCATCATACGAACCGCATCACCGACCTTGAGTGGTGTAAGCTTCTTGGATCCTCTATTGTAATAGTAGGCTTGTTTAGCTCTTGCCTTTTTCAGCTCTTGCTTTGTTGAATGCGTACAGGTGGGCTCAAGCAGTTGGCGCGAGATTGGAATTTGGGATCTTGTTCTCCTGCCAAACAATCGTTGGGCGGGCGAGGTAGTCATACCTTCCGATGGCGTGTTCCGGTGTTCTAGTATTGCCAGGTACGGATCTGCTTTCGCATCCAACGCTTTCTTCATAATTCGCTTTGCTATCTTCACAGCACTTTCCGCTTTCCCATTCGATTGAGGATATCGAGGCGACGAGGTCACATGCTCGAATTCATATCGTGTGGCAAAATCCTGAAACTCGCGGGAACTGTATTGAGGACCGTTGTCACTGACTACCCTCTCCGGTATCCCGTACCGTGCCATGTGTGCCTTTAATTTGTGGATTACTTCAGTGCTGGTCTTCGAGTACAGTCTATCCACCTCTATAAAGTTAGAGTAGTAATCTACTGTAACAAGATAATCTTTGTTTCCAAACTCAAACAAGTCTGTTGCAATCGACTCCCATGGACGCGTTGGGACTGGAGAACTCATAAGAGGTTCTTTCTGGTTTATTGTTCGGTACTGCGCACAAATATTGCACTTTGCGATGAGATCCTCAATGTTTTTGTTCATTCCTGGCCAATAGAATACTTCCCTGGCTCTTCTGAGTGTAGCCTGTACCCCACCATGGTTGTAGTGAAGTTTCTCTTGCATTTCAGCTCTCAATCCTTCTGGCACAATCAATCTCTCGCCTTTAAAGATAACTCCATTTTGTACGGTCAACTCGTCGCGAAACGGGTAATACACTCGTAATGCTGGAGACACCTCATTCTCTGTGTTTGGCCACCCTTCTTTCACAATTCTCACCAGTGCCTGCAGGTTGCTGTCTGCCGCTGTGTGCTCTTTAATTTGGGCTAGAGTAGTTTCTCTTACTGCTAGATTCTGCAGCATGTCAATTTGCTCTACTTCTCTTTCCGTTATTGATCTTGTGTCCTGCATGATCATCACTTCCTCGGTCTCTCCTGGTCCTTCGACATTTGGCTGGTGGGAAGTTGCTCGACTTAGCGTATCTGCCATAAACATAAGTGGTCCCTTCTTGTACACGACTTCGAGCTCAAACTTCTGGAGTCGTAGCATCATACGTTGTAGGCGCTTTGGTGCACTTAGTAGGCTTTTTTTTAGGATTGACTCAAGTGGTTTATGATCTGATTCTACTTTTACGTGTCGACCATACAGATAACTTTCAAATCTCTCCATCCCATACACGATGGCCAGCATCTCCTTCTCTATCTGAGCGTACTGTACTTCGGTTGGTGTTAACGACCTTGACGCATATGCCACTGGTTGGTTGTTCTGTAACAGGCAGGCCCCAAGACCATTCATGGATGCATCACACTGCAGGACTGGCATTACATCAGGGTCGAAGAACCGTAGCACTGGTGGTTCTGAGAGCATCTGTCGGATTTCCTCCAACGCTTTCCCATGCACATGCTTCTCCCACCGGAATTCATGTCCGTGCTTGATCAGATCACGTAGAGGTGTAGTGATCTCAGCTAACTTAGGGGCGAACTTTTGCACATAGTTCACCATGCCAAGCAATCTCTGTACTCCCAACTTGTCCTGTGGGGGCAGGCATGTCTCTGATGGCCTTCGTCTTCTCGGGGTCGATCTTCAGTCCATTCGATGTCAGACGATGGCCCATGTAGCTAACCTCTTCGAGTCGAAGTTGAATCTTGTCAGGGTTCAGCTTGAGACCCTTCTCTCTACACCGTTCCATCAAACCCCTGAGGTTCTTGTCATGGTCGAGATATGCCTCTTCATCTGTTGCACCACTGCCATAAACAAGAAGGTCATCTGCGATGACTTTGACTCCAGGTAGACCCAACAAGATATCGTTCACACGTCGTTGAAACTCTTCAGGTGCGGGTGATATGCCGAAGGGCATTCGCAACCACCGATACCGACCCCATGGAGTGCCAAAGGTTGTTGCATATGAACTGGCCTCATCCAGCTGGATATGCCAAAACCCGTTCTTGGCATCAAGGACTGAGAAACAGCGAGCGTGGGCCAAATCCGGTAGGATCTCATCAATGGTGGGTGAAGGGTAATGGTTACGCTTGAGGGCTTTATTTAATGGTTTGGGGTCAATACACAAACGGATGTCCCCATTCTTCTTGACTGTAACAACAATAGCCGATATCCAGGTCGTCGGCGTATCCACTGGAGCTATGACATTCGTGTCAACTAGTCGGTCAAGCTCTGCTTTGAGTTTGTCTTTTACAGCCAGTGGAATCCTTCGTGTTGGGAGCTGGACTGGGGAAATAGTTTCATCAATCTCTAGATGCAGTTCCCCTGGTAAAGTTCCTTGACCTTGGAACAGTTCTGGATACTCCTTAATGAGATACTTTTTGGTGATAAACTTGGGTGCATCTTTGACGCTCGGCGTAGTTGTAAAAATGTTCTCTTTGTTAACAACAAGTAAGTTCATGAGCTGACTGGCTTTAGCCCCAAGTATGGACTTGCAATTCTCTTCCACAACCATAAACTCTATGCTGTACTTCTTGTTATTCTTAGGATTGATAACTTGGAGCCTTGTCTTTCCAATAGGCTTCACTTCTGACCCATTATACATTACCAGAGTTGTGTTTGTCTTCACCAACTTCTTCTCGATAGGCTTTTGGAAACACCCTGCCAGTGTTCTTTTAGATAGTACGTTTACTGTTGCTCCACTGTCAAGCTGGAAACTTTCAAGTGTTCTGTTAATCATCAAGGAGGCACTTGGTTTGTGGGTGTATTGATCAGAGTTAACAGCACCCACCTCTTCTTTGGTCTCCACCAGAGCTATATACTCTCCTTCTGACGAGTCTGTATCCGTATTGATGCCGGATACTGGCTCTCTTTTGGTCAATGGTCTTCTCTGAGCATTGCAGACGACTGCGAAGTGGTTCTTTCTTTTACACTGTGAGCATGTTTTGCCCCAAGCTGGGCATTTGAATTTATCTCTGAGATGAGATTTACTGCAAAATTTACACCTTATTAGCCCTTCGTCAGCTCTTTTCTCAACTGGCTTCCTCTGCTCTTTGTGCTGTTCTTTGCTAACAGCCAACACTTTCTCATCTTCAGCTTTCATCGACTCGAGTTGCTTCGCCGTCTTCTCCCAAGACCGAACTATATCTATGCTTTGTTGCAGGGTAAGCTTTGAGACTTGCAATAATTTCTTTCGTGTGGCGTTGTCCTTAATACCCATAACAATACGATCTCTTATCAAGCTGTCTTCCAAATTACCAAAGTTACATGTCTTGGCTAATGTGCGAAGGACTGCGAAGTAAGCATCGACCGTTTCGTGTGACTCTTGATCTCTTTTATTAAAACAGTACCGTTCGTACGTCTCATTTGTTTCTCCAATACAATACTTTTCCAACTTACTTACAACAACATCGATGTCTTTTCTCTCTTCTTCATTCGCGAAATCCAAACCGTCCAAGACATCCAGAGCATCAGCTCCAATGCACGTCAACAAAGTCGCTGTTCGCAGCTCTTTGTTTGTACTAGGGTCACTAGAGTCCCGCAGCCGTGCGGCAAGTTCGTAGTTGCGCCAAGCACGATAAAACCTTTTCCAATTCGTTGCCAGGTTACCGGTCATGGCCAGCTGAGGTGGCATTGGCAAATTCACCGGAATTTGCACCACTTTAACCTCCTGAGAAGGCTGAGATGCCGTTGAGGTTGTCGCTTGCTCATGGTCCGTCATATTTTCAATCAGACACGATCTTCTGAAATACTTCACTCGTAATTTTAACACAAGCTCCTGGAATGCTTCACACGATAAGTCTTCTAAGCGATAAGTAACTGTTTACCTCACTCCTGGTACCATGTTAAATAGTATAAGCTCACACACAAGTTATTTTATTCTATTTTAATGTCAAATTCCAGTTCCTAAAAGCGCAAGCTTTTTTACAAAACAATAGAAAACATAACACAACGTTCGGGGCGTCCGTGTTCAATCTTAAGGGGCAATTCTGCCCCATGCTTCTGAGCGCCCCGTAACAGGTAGCATGGTTGAGAATAAACGTCTGTCATTGGGCTACAATTTTTTGTGCATTGGTTTATTTAAATAGCTATTTGTACATAATTCAATTGGTTATTGAAGAATTTAAAAATTGTTTTGAAATTTATCACGTCTGCTTAATTCAATAGCCTCCTTGCAAAGCTGGTTATAAACCAGTTGATGCAAACTGCAGAGTGAAGGGAAGCTATGAAGCCTGGTATAAAGCAAATCAAGTCATACCTGCTGACTACCAATGCACACCGAGGGGAATCCTGTGTAAAAACAGTGACAACACAGCGCACGGTTGTAAAAACTACCAAATCCAGTTTCTTTGTTACAAACGTAAGTAGAAATCACCAACTGGAAGAAATGATCAAATAGTTTAGACGTATAATATAATTATTGCGTAAAGATTTTCTAAAAATCAATCACGTGGTTTCTTGTTGCCTGGCAACATGGGATCAAAATTTATTCGCAATAACTCATGAAAATCATGGTTTATTCAAAAATGACAGCCTGCAACGAAGCTTGGATCTTTAATGCAGCAACAATGAAATCAGGTTTTATATTAAAAGTGTTAGAGACTATACATTCGTGTTTTGTTTACAAATAAACGCACTTGCTGACCATACAATAAACTCGAAATTTCAATACATATGTACAACAGTCTCTAACACTTAAATATATCATGCCTTAAAATACTGCATGAGGACTGCAGGCTGCATGCACAAATTATGTAATTATGTAGAAATAGAAATAAGGTATATTTCAGAAGATATTGAGCCGTTCCCTATATCGTTAACGACATAATTATCATGAAATATAGGAAACATCGAACAACAATAGCTCGAGTTTCGCATTAATATTTAAACTAGATGTCACATTTTCATATAAACTTTAAGCTGGAATTAAAACGTAATATTTATTTACTCTTCTTTTTTTCTAATATAGCGTAACCTGACAACGTTCAAGGTTTTGAAAATGTGTCAAGTGTAATCTTTTTGGGTGTATTTTTTGTAGCTTGTTTCAATAAATGTTTTTGCGACTACAGAAACTATTTTCTTCTTCTTCTATTAATTTTCGCGGTCCCAACCTTTGAATCAAGCTAGGATAAAAGTTCACTGGAAATCTAGTGTTTGAGAATTGTTTCTTTTAGGCGACAAAAATGTAATATGCTTAATATCGCTTTTTAGTTCAAAGATTGACATTTTTAGGGCCAACATGTGGGCAGATTATACAGGGTGTGCAATATCATATAAAATTATGTTCGCTTCTATTCAGCAACAAAAGATCGTAGGCCCCATGGAGTTATTAGGTTTAGAGTTTTTTCATACAGTTAATTATGGTGAAAAGTGGGGGGACTATGGAGTTTTGAAGATGAGAACAAAGCCGTGAACATTAACTATAATTACTCCAAAGGAAACATTTTCCTAAATTGTGTTTTCAATGAAAACCATAAATTAGGAATACAAGTACAATAAAATGCCAATGTTGAAATTTAGGCAGGTTTCTCAACTTAATGTATAAGTTCCCCTCCATTAATTCGTCTGTGATGGATTGAGATAGGGCCCTCTACAAAAGCTCGAATAATATATTTCAAATGATAAATAGCCTAAAGGGGGGAAATGTGGTCGAAAAAGATTATTGTTACCAGGAAAAGAATTGTTTTTACCAATGTTAAAGAAGGTTTCTTAATTCAAGTGGCGTTACAAATACTCAAAATATCATGAACAAGCAGAAAGCCCATAGGCATTTCTATTAAATCCAACCATTGTACGTCCATTAATTCATGTGAGGCACAAGACTAGCGGACTTTGTCTCGGCCTGTGTAAAGAAAGACCGCTCAGAGCTTTATCTTGAGAGTCTTTCGAAGCCTATATATAATGATTTTTGTCATTAGGTAACTTGACAAAAGCCCATAATTAATTCGGAGTTGCCCAGGTGATATTGTATGTGAGTGAGTTTAGGACACTGTTTACACTATAGCTATAGGCACTTGGTTACGAAATATCTTTAAATTGTTTTACGGTGTCTCTTAGATTGGCAGATTGTGTTAAAACAACACTCGCTTTGACGAGGCCAATAATTTTGATGTCGTGACCATGCGAATCCGGTGTACAGAAGGACACTGCGCAATGAGGTATTCAAGGGTTTACACTTGTACTAAGAATTCCGATTTCCCTTTCCCTGAGGTCACTGGAATTTGGGCTTCCCTATACCCGAACTCAATATTCTTTCTCTATTAGAAATAATACAATGGATTTTGAGTTCTTTGGGTCTGGGTGTGAAGCAGGCCTTGCTTGATTAAGGTAACCAAATACGGGGTCTGTTCATAAATACCCGCCATGCATGCAATATGCATGAACGCCCAATGTTGCTAGTTTTTATGTTCTTTCGATCAATAGACTGTTGCCTTCTACCGGTATATGACTGACTACAGGAAATAATATAAGCTTCTACACTAGCTTGGATTACGTTATATCATCGATTCATAATTTTAATTAGAGAAAAGTAAAGAAAAGTACTTAGCAGAGGCAGCGTCTCTTAATTTGGGAGCTCGCTATATTTGCATTTGAATGTAAAGAGCTTCTGGAGAACAGAATTGCAATCAAATTTTTGTTTATGCATTTTTCCGCACTAAACTTTAAACGAATGAGACCAGGATATTTTACGGTGATGAACAAATCAGGTAGCCTCATCCAATGGGAGCTGTGATCTTAATTAACGTAAGTTTCTATCGTTAATGGGGCCATCAGTCCTTTTGTGCATGTTAAATACTGCAGAGAACTAATTATACATCATACAGCCGGTTAAAGAATAAAAAGACAAAGTAACCAAAATTTAGCTGCATCTTTATCAAATATGTTGGATAAGAAATTTTTAAAACATGCTCTTCTGGAATGATTTAAAATATGATAATATTATATGGGAAGTTCTGACGAAATTAAGAGTGCAACTGAACGTATGCATGTTTCCGGAGACTGGAGTATAATTAATGATTATTTTGTAGGTATCTTATTTCCTCTGCAGTTCAGTAATATAATCGACGTGGCTCATTTATAAATAATAGGGAACTGTGATCTTGACATAAGTTTCTATCGTTAATGGGGCGATCAGTCCTTTTGTGCATGCTAAATATTGAGAACTAATACATCATACAAGTTAAAGAATGAAACGACAAAGTAACCAAAATTCAGCTGCATTTATATCCAATATGTTGCATAAAAAATTTTTAAAACATGCTCTTTATGAAGGATTTCAAATGTAAAATATAGGGGAAGTTCTCATGAAATTAAGAGTGTAACTGAACGTATGCATGTTTCCGGAGTATAATTAATGATTATTTGTAGGTATCTTATTTCCCCTGCAGGTCAGGAATATAATCGGCGTCGCTCATAATAAGTTTTGTCAGATCGACAACGCACTCATTGTGGTAAGAACACTGGTTAATCGATAAATCTATTGCGCTGAAAGGTACGACAGTTATCGATTTCTATACTTGGAAGTTTATATGTTAGGTCACAAGGCATGATATATAACTTCATCCCGGGCGAGTCTTTTTGTCAAAAAGCTATTGATATATAATGAAACGTTTATACGTTCAGTTATATTTTGGAATAAGTGACAAATTTATGGAACATATGTAATATTTCATCATCATCATCATCCAAGCAATGTTTACCCGCATGATCCATCCTCCCAGGAGACTCACAATGTTTATTTTCTTTATTTAGGAGACAGTTATAGCAGAAGTTTCAAGATGAAGTTTCTTATTTCATTTGTAATTTTTTACACTTTTGCAGTCTCAGGTGAGGACAACAGTAAATTTGTTAAAGCTTGTCAATAATCTTCCACTCACAATAAACTATAGAGACAAGCATCGCCAGTTCTCTAAGAACTAGTACAATTATTGTAGGTTACGCTTAAGATATCATTTTGACCTATTTATTGATTTTTATTTTCGCGATCATAGCTCTGTTGGTACATGTAGTATCAACGTAAACCCCCAGCATCTGTGGTTTTTCTTTGCAGAAATTCTTATTAATTTTCGTGCCTAATTTTTTAGCTCATGCCGCTGTTTATTGGACTCGCTGGCTTGACCGAGACAACCCATCTGGAACTGGCGACTGGGAAACGTATTCAAGTTTCAAACCCGTAATGATAGATTTAGCGATAATATTTTATCAATAATAATATTGCTCATTTCATTTTCACGCAAAAACATATCAGTCGGATACTGCAATTTAAAGTGCGGGCAGTTCAAGTGTGCAGAGTTTAACAAAATGTGTGAGTGCATGACTGGTTTCAGCACTATATCTGCGTTTAAAACAAAATCATTGCAGAAAAATAAAACAACATATTGAGTCATAAACACTAACCGGGTTGATTATTATGATTTATGTACACGTGTCATCCCACTGACACAGTACTCTTAAAAGAAAAGTATACGTAATTTAATAAAAGTGTTTAACAGTTTAAGATGCATGGGCATTGATAGCTCTTTTAATCGTATTGATCAAAACAGAATGCAAATTAGACATAGATAAAAGCGCTTTATCCCCAGCAAGGGACGTAGGACGATAATCTCGAGAGAAAAGGGTGCATATTTTTCATATTCGGCTTGACGGATTTCTTTTTCCGGTCGTCCGATCGACCAAATTCCCTCAAACAATAAAAATAAAGGAAAATAAACAATGTAGCTAGTCAAAGTTTGTAGCACAACCACACCACGATTTAATAAATGACTGTCATTGGGCCACAATTTTTGTATAGTTTTTATCGTAATATTTGTATATATATATTTTATGCAGTTTTTTAATGCTTTATTTAACATTCAATATAGCCTTCCTGCGAAGCTAGTTTTAAACCAGTTCGAAAATAATTATTATTCTGTATACGTGCTTGGTTGTTATAAGTGAAGTGAGAAAAATGACTGTCAAATCTTTGGGCCACAATTTTTTTCGTATAGTTCTTTATCTTGATATTTGTACACATACACAGTTTTTGAATAATTCTTTAATTCTTTAACATTCAATAGGCTCCCTGCATACTTGGTTATAAACCAGTTCGTGCAAACTGCAGAGTGAAGAACAATAAACAGGCCTGGTATACAGCAAATCAAAAGATAGCTCCTTGCGTGCAGTGCACATCGAATGGAATCGTGTGTAAAAACAGAGACAATACTCAATATTGTAAAGACTACGAAATCCGGTTTCTTTGTTTCAGACGTAAGTACAAACCAGCAACTGGAGGAAATGATAAAATAATTTTTTTTGCATGAGGATGGTACTTGGGAAAGGGAATGATTTGTAGTAGGATATGACACCGAGTGGCAGCTTGCCATGGCAAGCAGAAAATTCTACTTGACACGGCAGGATTTGATGAAATAATTTCAAACAATGACAGTAGATTAAAAATTTAGTGATTGATTTTCGGAATTGATTAGGCCAGGTTTATCGCTTTCTTTGCAAAATGTGTCTCATTATAAGTTGTCGTCATGCTATTTTTTATCTTATCTCTGTTTTATTGACTGGTAAACCGATGGACATTTCAAGCTAGAAATGAGAATAATTTTGCATTTTTTTTTATTTTCTCTTATAGCATAAGACATTGTTCAAGATGCTGAAAATGTTCTAAATCAAAGTTTTAATAATTTTTTGCCGGTTTGAATAAATGTTTTTGTCACTAAAAAACTATTTTTGTTGTCCTTCTCAATTTGCGCGCTAACATCGTTTGAACTAATGAGCAACGAATTTATATCAATCGTATGCGAATTAAAAATTCCCAAATGACAAAAAACCTCTGTTTATACTCTTTTTAATGCTCCATTGCTATACCGAATGTTGGCGTTATCCCGCTTGCTTTCATGCCATTTATCTTCACCGCACGCATTCCAAGATGTCACCTTCGGTCTGTTCCTTCCATTAAACTGTCATGATCAAATAATGTCACCGTAGGTACTGTGTGATCAGTGTTCAGAAGTTGTTTTAAAAAAACCCATGAAAGCAACAAAAATTTAAGTATTTTATATTTCTTGTAATTATAAGCCCGCATTTATTATGACATGCAATGTTATATAAAACTTGGAAAATCAAGTTTTCACTTTTAGCAAAATTTCCCGCTCGTGACCAGTGGCGTAGCCAGCCTGACGATTTTGTCTCTCTATGTAAATTTCGATTTATTATAATTATCCATTTCTTTAGGAATTTATTGTTTTTACAGTGAATGAACACCAAAATATTAGCGTATAGTGGGTCAAATCTTCAGGCTGGCTGAGCTACTGCTCGTCATTCGTTCAAAGCTGGCCTTTGGGAGCGAAATTTAAGAAAAGGCAATAGGTAGCAAATGAGCGAAAAGATTTTTGACTGCAGATTATTAGCCGCACACGTAAATTCATCATAACCCATAGCAATTATGTCTTTGTTTTTTTGCTTTGAATATTATGAAGTCATCGCAAAATTTTTCTCAATCTCCGTCCTCTCCATCCCGACATGCATGCATCGTGCACGTGATTCCAAAGAAGAATGTCAATGACACAGAATTTTACCACAAGAGCCATACCTTGGTAAACATGCGTGCACAACACCGCGTCATAATTCCTGCTTCTCCCGGAAATGGTCAAGAAAGTTAAATAAAACCCTTCGTTTTCTTAACGCCATGTTAGGGGCTCGGTGTGCAAGGTTAAAATTAATGATGTATTTTAAGCTGGATTTATTATCCATTGAATGGTCTTTCAGATCTGAGATCAGGGAATCTTTTTCTTAATTTGCCACGTCTGTCGCACGCATGCACTAGAAAAATGCAGGAATGCTACACCTATTAATAATAAGGAGTTAAGTTACTACGGCGCGGTTACCTCGACGTCGGCTATCAATTATTTTGCAAGATAGGCTAAGAAAAGGTAATTATTCTGTCGGAGCTTTTGGATAACCATACAAACATTTCAATTGTACTAAAGGAACCTCTGATTTGTACATTTTTCAGCACTAAATTTTAAACCAATGAGAACCCGACATTTTGCGGTATTGAACAAATCAGGTAGTCTCATCCAGTGAGAAACAGTGATCTTAATATTAACGTATAAGTTTCCTTCCTTGATAGGGCCTTAAAAGATGTTAAATATATTGAGACCTAATACATGCACGTACCGCACAGGTTAAAGAATAAAAAGACAAAGTAACCAAAATTTAGCTGATTTATATCCTATATGTTTGATTAGAAATTTTTAAAGCATGCTCTTCTGGAATGATTTAAATTATTATAATATACAGGGTGTTTCAAAAAAATGTCCCAAATGTAAAATTCCCGTTTTTCAGGATATTTTGCAGAATTTGTCAAATTTTTGTGTTCTTAGAGATAGATAAGACTTATCTGGTATACCTAGGCCAAGTTTGGTTTTTCATTAACAAAATTACGTTACCGGGGGAAGTGGCTCCTTTCCACGGATATTGATAGGGCTTAATTGCGCGCGAAAATGTGAAGCTGAAATTGAGATATTATTTAGCTGTCTAAAAGTAGGAAAGCTTTTTAATAAACGGTCAAAGTTTCAGGAAAAATAATGCATACTGGGAGAAACGCGCGATCCCTAAAAGTGACAAATATTTCATTGCGCGTAGTGGATTAAATGCATGGTTGATTTTAGCGTGACCGATCTCATGTAAGGCTGGGCAAATGAATAAATTAAAGCGAGAAACTGAACACAAAAACAAAGCGATTTATTCGTGATGTTAATCCTCAGCATGTCCACCATTTCATTCTAAGCAAACTGCTGCTTGTCTGAGCATACTAAACACTGAACAGCGAACCATTTGTCAAGCTGTCCATTCGCCTAGATTGCCGGTGGTAGCGTAGGCGATTTGCAAGAAAGAATTTCGTACGAAATGGATAATTTGAGGCAGGGCAGACAAATGTGGTTTGCCGTTCAGTGTTTACCATGCTCAGACGAGCCGCAGTTTGCTTAGAAAGAAATGGTGGAAATGTTGAGGATTAACATCAAGAATAAGAATCTTATCATTAAATCGCTTCGTCTTCTTGTTCAGTTTCTCGCTTTAATTTATTCATTTACCCAGCCTTGCATGAGATCGGTCACGCTAAAATCAACCATGCATTTAATCCACTGCGCGCAATGAAATATTTTTCACTTTTAGGGGTCGCGTGTTGCTCCCAGTTTGCATTATTTTTCCTGAAACTTTGACAGTTTATTAAAAAGCTTTCCTACTTTTAGACAGCTAAAAAATATCTCAATTTCAGATTCACATTTTCGCGCGCAAGCCCTCTCAATATCAGTGGAAAGGAACCACCCCCCCCCGGTAAAATAAGTTTGTTAATGAAAAACCAAACTTGGGCTAGGTATACCAGATAAGTCTTAACTATCTCTAGGAACAAAAAAAAATTTGCCAAATTCTGCAAAATATCCTGAAAAACGGAAATTTTACATTTGGGACATTTTTTTTGATACACCCTGTAGAGGAAGTGCTCTGGAAATTAAGAGTGCAACTGAACGTACGCATGTTTTCGGAGTATAATTAATGATTATTTGTAGGTATCTTATTTCCACTGGTGTGGCTCATGATCAGTGTTTCAAGATGTCATACAAGTATTAGAACAACAATATAAAAGACAACGTGGTTGGAACATAACAATAATGGCGGATGGGCCGTGCATCCGGGCTTTTATTACTGATTGTGCCACAGGGGGCCCAAGTACATATTGTAACATCCTTTCTCTAATGTAAAGAAACTAATTGCCTTAATATAATGATAGATAAATGAAATAATTAATAAACCTAAAATCAAGTAATATTAATACTAAATATGTTCCTTCCATAAAGATGGAACTATTGTATCTGAATAATATACAAATAATCATGATAGCATAAGTAAGTAAGGTTCATAGACAAAGTTCATACTAAGCTCATTTGACAAAGTCATTGAGGTGGGTTGGTTTCCTTCTGATCCTTGTGGATCTTCGTAGATGGACTTCTGGCTGATCAACGGGTATTACAACAGGAGGATCAACTGGATGGTGGTTGCTAGGTGGTGAGGGAGTCTGTTCGATGGGTGGTGAATTTGGTTGCTCTGCAGGTAGTTCCACAGACTCTTGGATCATCATTGGCGTCTCAGGGATTGACATCTCCTCTGATGAAGAGAGATCCCTCGTCTTCCTCAAATCAACCCGGTTTCTTCTATACGTACCAGAGGGGGTCTCGATTTCATATGATCTCTCATCTAATCGCCTGCGTACAGTCCCTTTCTCCCATTCTTTTGCGCCAATTCTAAATGGCTTTAGCCTAATAGTGTCACCCTCTGCGAGTACTTCCAGGTCCTTGGCAGATTTGTTGTAATTTCTACACTGTCCAGATTGTACAGATTGTACAGCTCTTGTTCAACAGCAGATTTGACAGCAATGGGTACACGTCGTGGAGGACATTGCACAGGCTTGGCATTGCCATCAATTCTAAGGGATACTTTACCAGAAAAGTTTCCAACAGTGTTATTATCAAAAACTGACTTATATTCAGAGACAAGTGTTGACACACCATCAGCAACTCCATGCACTTGCTTAAAGTTACCATAATTAATGGTGATGAGCTTCATTTGTTCAGCTGCTCTTCGGCTGAGTAGAGGTTTCAGATCTTGCTTAACCACCTCAAACATCACATTGTATTTCTTTCCAGTTGTAGGGTTCTTGGTAATGATTCTGCATCTTCCAACTGGTTTCAGTGTTGACTTGTTATACATATTAAGCACAGTCTGTGACTTTTCCAGTTGTATGTCCTCATGAACATATTTCTTTGGTATAACGTTCACTGTCGCTCCACAGTCAACTTGGAATTTCACCTTTCCTCCATCCTCAAGAGACATTTCTGCGTAAACAGCGCCAGTAGAGACAGAGTTCACTGATTCTGCTATTACTGGAAACACCCATTCGGTGGAAGAATCTGATGAAGAATCATCTCTCACCACATGTGTTGGTTTCAGGGCAGAACAGCACCTGGCAAAGTGGTTTAAACCTTTGCATTTATTGCACTGCTTTCCCCATGCTTTACAAGCTTCTTTCTTCATTATGTGTTCAGCACCACAAAACTTGCATTTGTTAATTTTCCCTTTGTGAGTTAACTTGCTACTCACCTCATTAGTCTTTCTCGCGGCTTGATATCCTTTAGCATTTCTCGCCGCTGCTGAATACTTTCGGTTGTATTTACTGATGTTTACTCGATGCACTTCATCTTCTTTCCCAGCAATGACTTTCAACTGGCTGGTGGTTTTCTCGTGTGTGCGACAAATGTCTAGGGCTTTACGTAAGGTAAGCTTTCCTTCTTGCAATAAACGCTTTCGTGTGACATCATCTCTCACACCTAGGACGATTCTATCTCTCAAAAGAGACGTCTTCAAACATTCACAGAGATTGCAAGTTTTAGCTAGAGTCTTGAGGCTGGCCAAGTAATCATCGATAGTTTCATCAGACTTTTGAATTCTTGTGTTAAACTTGTACCTTTCAAAAGTTTCATTGGTTTCCCCAAGAATGTGTGCGTCCAATTTATTAAGAATATCTTCAGCAGTATCCGTATCGAGTGGATCACATCCATTATATATCTGCAAAGCTTCGACTCCCATCGTCGATATGAGAAGCGACTTTCTAAAGGCCGCTGGGTGTTGTTCAACATTAGACACAACACAATAATGCTGCCAAAGCTGTTTCCATATTTTCCAATTTTCTACGCCATTCTTCGCTAACTTAACTGGCTCGGGCGGTTTAAAAACATAGCCAGGTAGCAATGACGATCTTGAAGCTTGCTCACCCAATGAAGTAGAAGTATTAGGCTCAGATGACGATTGAGGCGTTGTAGATGAACCCTCGTCGGCCATAATTCTCGAGCCAAGTTAGACACGCAGCACACGCTTTCAACCCGTTTCTTTTACAAACAGATCAACAGATCAAATATCATGTGATCCCACTGCTGCCACCACGTTGTCTTTTATATTGTTGTTCTAATACTTGTATGACATCTTGAAACAATCAGGGGCTGTTTACATGAACCCAGTTACCCGAGATTCAACAAAGCGTGAGAGGACTTTGAGGTATTGAAATAAGCCTTTATGACTCCAAACAAGCATGCACATGCTATTGTTGTAG